GGCTTCACGTTTGGCACGAGCACTACTTCTTGATGAAGAACTTCATGAACAGGTCTATGCGTCTATGCCGTGACCGACGCCATCGCTCCTCTCACTGGTGCTCTGAGAAAGCTTGCAGTCGCCCATGGTGCAGAAGCAGCTCGTATTGCACAACGCCTTCATCGAAATCTTGGACACCCTCGCAAAGATGTTCTGCTCAACACTTTGAAGAGCAGGAATTGCAGCCCACAGGTCCTGGCAGCGGTCCAAGATCTTGAATGTCCTTTTTGTGAGGCACATGCAGTCAAGAAAGGAACAGCACCTGGACACCTTGATCGTCCAACTGAGTTCAATGCCCAGCTTCAAGCCGATGTTCTCTGGCTCGATCTTGATGAAGTTGGAGCTGTTCGCGAGCCTGGCAAACGACAGAAAGCCCGCAAGATCGCCATCCTGGTCATGGTTGATGTTGCAACCAGATACATGGCAGCTCGCACCATCATGGATGAGAAAGGACCCACACTTCAGAAAGCACTAGAACGTGCATGGATTCAGCATCATGGACCACCACGACAACTCTATGTGGATGAGGGCACTGGTTGGGCATCAGATGCTACCATGCAGTGGCGCGAGAACAATGACATCGAGATCCGCATCTCTCCAGGACAGGCGCACACTCGAACATCCATTGTCGAGAGGAGACATCAGATTGTACGCAAAGCTGTCTCAATCTTCATGATGGAGAATGATCTCACTGGCCTCGACGGCGTGCACACGGTCTTGGGTCATACCTGCCCTGAACAGCAGCACCTTTGTCAACGGCTATACGCCCACCCAGCTTGCTCTTGGCCGAGAACCTGCACTTCCTGGACGTCTTTCAGACGAGCGAACAAGCCCACTTCAGCTGCAGCTGACGCTGACTGAGCAAGAGAAACTCCACAAACGACTCCAAATGAAGTTCGCTGCCCAGAGTGCTTGTGGCAAAGCTGAGATTGATGTCAAGCTGAGAAGGGCCCTGCTGCGACGCTTTACGGGAAAAGATGAAGAACTCCTTCCTGGCGAGAGGCGCTACTACTGGCGGGACTTCCCGGACAAGGCCCACACCATCCGCTGGCGCGGACCAGCAGTTGTTGTTGCAGTTGAGCGCAACCCTGACACTGGCACCATCTCTGTGTACTGGATTGCACACGGAACGGTACTCCTTCGTGCTGGAGTTCAACACGTTCGCAAGATGGTCAGCGACAGCGGACAACTTGGTGCAGCTCAACGTGCTCAACAAGCTCTGAACAACCTGAGACAGAGAAGAGCTGTCCGAATCATCGACTTGTGCAAGGCCAACAAGCGCTCGATTGATCCTGAACTGTCCGACTACGCTCCTTCCATAGCTGAAGAACCACCTGCTCCGGTGACTATGCCTTCATCTGGACTACCTGATGGTGTGCAACGGGCCTTTGATCGCTCCATGCAAGAAGCCATTCAGTCACGGGTAATTGAACGACCATCGGCTCCACCTGCTCCAGATCCTCCTGAAGACCTTCCGATAGAGCCATTGGAACCACAGCTGGAAGAGCGACGACTTCATGAACGACACCAATGAATTTGAAGAGCCAATGGGTGAACCGGCACACATGGAGACACCACGTATGGACGCCGAGCCTCTGACAAGTCTTCCAGATCCAGCTGATCTACCCGTTCCTGAAGACCACGATCTGGATTCTCCAGAGGCCGACCTTCTTTCAAGGCCTGTGGCAGCTTCCTCGTCCCCAATGCCTGCGCCAATGGCAGTTGATCCTCTTTATGCGCCACCACCAGCAGAAAGCTTCCAAGATCGTCGGCGACGAGCTGGACCTATGATGAGAAGAACAATGAGTTCATCCTGGATGAAACACAAGACTGGTGGAGCTACGAGGACAGCTTCCTTGTGCGCAACCAAGAAACACCACCTACAAGCCTGAAGAGTTCCCCATTGACGCCTTCTTTCTACAAACAACCACCGGCCTGACACTGCATCAAGGATCAAGAACCATCTATGTCAACGCCAAGGAGCAGCAGCACTTCCACGAGTATTGGACCGGCAAGACCCTGTACCCATTCACCTCAGAGGGTGCAGAAAAGACCGGACTCCCCTACATCGGAGACCTCACGGACAAGCTCTCTCGCTGCAAGACTCTCCGTGGCCGTGGACATATCTGGCAGGCCGTTGGAGCTGGCAATCCCAAAAAGAGGCACGTCAAAGAAAGCGCTGATCTCAACGAGCGCAAAATGACCCTGGAGAATCGCCTCTCCTTCTTGGAAGGAAAGAAGGCAGAGCTCATGAGCATCTTCGAGAATGGTGTCTGGGAGATTGAGCTCGATCCACAAGCAGTAGACCACAATCGGGTCATGATGGAAAGGGCGGCCTCAAGGCCAAGGCACTGTTGGTGCTTCAAGGATTTTCAGATCCTGACTTGCTGCAGGGACAATTGGACACTTCCTCACCGACTTTGTCAAGAAGTTCCTGGCAGGTGCTCATCGCCCTTTCAGAGGTGCTTTCCTGGGAACGCTGGACTGCGGACGTGGCGACCGCTTTCCTCGAGGGAGATCCACAGGAGCGAGTTCTATGGGCACGCATCCCAAAAGATGCACGTGAACTCATTGGAGCGCCACCCGGCACGCTCATGAGGTTGATCAAGCCTCTGTATGGTCAAGCTGACGCTCCAAGGCAACGGTTTGCAGTCGCCCGACGCCGATTGCTGCAACTTGGATTCCAAGCACATCCATTGGACCAATGCCTCTACATGTTCTTTGATGAGAACAAGGTCCTAACAGCAATGGTCGGAATCCACGTCGACGACCTCTTCCGTTGCGGCCTGGCTACTTCAACTACCTATAGCAAGCTGATCGAGCAGCTCAAGACCTCCTTCAACTTCAAACACTGGACAGCTGAGGGTGAACGCCCACTAGAGTTCTGCGGATGTCAACTCACCCGCACAGCCACTGAGTCCGTGATGACGCAGACTGACTACCTCAAGACCATCAAGCCCATGACCTGCGCGGACAACGAGGCTGAAAGGGAGTTGAACTCCAAGGAACAGAGCGCTTTGAGAGCACTACTCGGTGCACTTCAATGGCCAGCAACCCAAACCTCGCCTCACCTATGCGCTTCAGTGTCGCTTTTGTGTGGAGAAGTCACCACCTCTACGGTCAATGTGGCCCAGCAGGCGAACAAGACCCTACGTTTCGCAAGAACAACAATGACGCCCGCCTGGTGTTCCGTTCCATGGGTGGCTCGCTGGATGACCTATGTATGGTGGGCATGAGTGACGCTGCATGGGGGGTGAGACGCAATAGTGAAAGCCAAGGTGGCTACCTGGTGCTCCTATGTCACAAGTCAGTGCTTGAGGACAACACCCTCGACCACGACTATACCATCCTGGACTGGGAGCTTCAAGCTACCAAGGATCAGTCGGTCCTCACTGAATGCCGAGAGCCAAGCATGCTCAGCCGCGATGGACGCCTTGGAATACCTCCTCATCTTCTGGGAAGGATGTCTGAACTATGACTTCCAGCTGCGCCAGGTTAATGAGCTAAAGCCTTCACTACCTTCGGCAAGTCTCCAAGGAGACAAAAGAACAAAGATCGAGGTCATGGTGACCAAGCAGAAGATGTTGCGCATGAGCACGAAACTACGATGGGTCAGCTCAGAGATCCAACTGGCTGACGGGGTTACCAAAACCTCAGCCCGGCAGCTATTTGCTGACCGAATACGAAGCCACAAGATCTCCCTCAGGTCCGATATGACCTTCCAGGCGGCAAAGAAGAAGACCTTATAAGCCGAGAGACAGGCGAATGCTCGCAAGCGTGCGATCAGCAGGACAGGCAACCACAACAGCCTTCCTGACCTCACAGATGGCTATGGTCCAAGCCTACCAACCTTCGTCTGAAGTGGCCCTCGACTTTGTCTTCTCGCCCGAGATGACCCTCATGCTGTTCATCCTGATGACCTATGTGGGATGGAACCTGGGCAGGAGATGGTCTACAACGACCTCAACGGCTACACGAACCTACACAGAGACATGGACTATGACTATGACAACCTCAAGCTCTTCAACAAGGGACTTTGGAATGCAGGCCGAGACCACTGAAGAGAAAAATGTGTTCGGCCCCCTCAGAGCTGAGATTGCCGGACTTCGACAAGACCTCAGGGACTCCGACTCCTACAATGTCGAGCTCAAGGACAAGTGTGAGGGGTTGGAGAACGAATGTGATGAGTTAGAGAGACAGGTGGACGAGCTGGTGACTATGAGAGACTTCCTCAGCGGCGAGATTGGTGAGCTGGATGGGAAGTACAAGGGTATGAGGATGAAGTGGCAGCGAGCGGTGCAAACGCTGATGGACATGCAGCATCAGCTACAGACCAGACCCTTAGCCCACGTGGTCTGGCACACGAGGACTGGCAACAAGTACCACGTGAATGCAGAATGCCAGGGCCTCTCCAATGCAGACAGGAACTCCATGAAGACGCTGGAGTACTGCGCATTTTGCGCACAGCAGGAGTCTGACAGGTGGCGGGAGTTTACCGACCTGGACCGTCGCCAAACTCTCCAAGACCATCGGTAACAACCACCGGTGTGAAATGGACCCCATCCATTTGGAATAGGAGCATAGCTTTTGGCACGCATTGCTGCTGTTGCTCCTCGAACCTGCCCAAAAGGGGCCTCTTGAGCTTCACGCATGGCGCGCAAACAAGTGCAAAGCCTTTTTGTGTTCCGTGACGGCACTTCGAGCGGTCGATCACTTGAGTGTGTTCACCTTTTCGTGTTCCACATTCTTCACAGTAATATACAATATATACATGAAATGGGTGAGATAGGTGAGATACATCGAATGCTTCCTGAAAGTCTGGGTCGAAGATGCGAGACAGATTCAATGGTAAAAACATGTAAAAACAAATGCCGGAAATCAGCCCAGGGAAACAATGCAAAAATATATGGCACACATGCGGAGAAAAAGAAAACGCTGTGCAGTCTTCACACACAAGGCGCTGCTCCACCCAATTGACCAATTCTGTGTCGTTGGCCACGGCCTGGACGCTCAGCATCCAAGGGAGAAGTCACCAAACAATATTGAGCAAAGACTTCGCACAAGCCGCAACAGCATCTTGCTGGGCAAGGGCGGGAAATCAAAATCATCAGTAAAAAATATTCAGCGGTGTTCATAAAGGAGAAAACTGGTCAATAAATATTCCAGCGAGCAACGAAAGGAAAAAGAGACTAGGGAAAGGACAACAAAGGCAGGGCGGGTGACCAGAGGACAATGAAAGGATGCTTGCGCAAATTTAAAAACTTGTGTGGGGGTGTGCAATATTTGGTGTTATGCGATGGGAGGCCTTTAAAAAGTCTGTCATGGCAGGCCCAGCGCATTGGTAAAGGTTCATAGCGCTGGACGGGGGTTAGCTACAAAAACCACCAGACTCAGAAGGCACCACAAAATATATAGATCAGCATCGAAAGCTACACACCCTATTGCCCCATAAATGAAAGCCTCAGCCACCCAGAGGACAATGAAAGGATGCTTGCGAGACAAGAGCAGCTCAGGCCCAGGCGAGTGATAGCAACATTTTGTGTATGACTACGCGATGGGTGACCTCTTGTCGCCGCCGCCATCGTTCTCCTCTTCTGGGCTTCATCAGGGGTCACGCGCTTAGGCATGACAGCATCAGCGGCATCATTGGCAAGTTCGCGCCTCTACTAAGTCTTGTCTTGCGTTTGCATGAATGCCAAAGCAGGTCAGCTTGGAATGCCTAAGGCAGCAGATGAATTTTTAACAGGTTTGCTGATGTTTGATGGAGGCTGCAGGTGCTTTCGCGTTTTGTGGAGCGCAGGGATCAGCACGCATCCTTGCCTATACCTATACATATCTTCTCTGCGCTTTTGGGAGGTTCCGCAGAACAAGTTTCTTCGCACATTTTCTCTCGTGGAAAGTTAGCCGTACAAGTTCTACTTTTGCGTGAAAATACGTTGCTCAAAAGGGCCAGAGGACGAAAGGACCTTGGGGACCAATGGACTAGGGCGCCAAAGGAGCAGGCAACCGATGGGCCCATGGACTGGGGGGCCTACTCTAAATATGTGTACATTTCTTCTTGCGATCTAGATGCCGCTGGAAAGCCCACTGAAGATTTTCGTTCAAGAACAAAATTGCTTGAAAGGCTGAAAGTGGTCTTGAGTTGTTCAAACCCCAATAAATTGGGCCCGCCTCAGGGCCCTGAAACAAAAACCAACTGCAAAAAAATATATACATATATATATACATGATCCCATTCCACTTGCTGCCAGCAAATCTTCGGCCCTTTTATCA